GCTGCTCTGTCTGCTGTTAGTCGCGATTTGGATTTTGTTTTTCTCAGTTTGTTTGTTTCTTCATTAAATTGCAGCATTACAGTACATTCTTCACATCAGGACACGACGTGAAACCCGAGGATACGACTAAAGGATGGACCTAAAGAGAATGACCTGAAGTTAATGTACAGCTCATCTCTTCAGTTTAGAAGTTGCGCTTCTTATGTTCTGACTGATGACAAGTGTTACAGGTTTAATCTTTAATCTACTAAAGTTGGTCCCTACTTGTTCTATGGTGTCCTTGGGGGTGGGGGCCGTTTTATTCTTCTTTCTTATCAACCTACATGTATTTACTTGTGTAGATCGTGCTTTCGGACCCAATGGGTTGATCTGATTGGAGCTCGCTGGTGTGCTGGCAGCCTGTTGAATACGGTTCTGTGCCTGTGTGAAATGTGGTGCCATGATCAAAAATCACTCAACAACTAACTAAACTGTGTCTACACAACAGCATTGTAATGAAGTACTGTCGTGCACATTAATTATGAATAATCATCTCAATCATATCTGTCTATAATAGCAATTTAAATCAAAAGTATGGAGTGTAGAGCTCATGATAAGGCTTGGTACATACATAGTCTGAGTCTCCCTCAGACCCTGACATCCCATATTACAGCTGTATCCACTACAAGACACCCCAGGGAACATGGTTAAAAGTCCACAAAATACATTTGGGCTGGATGGATACACTTCCAACGCCAAGGCTTTGTATAAGTCATCTGAGTTTGCTTCCTCCAAAGACTCAGGAGTTGAGGAGTTCCTCAGAGCACTCATATCACTGCCTGACAGTTTCCCAGTCGAGGTTAGTAGTTAAGGTTAAGTGAATATCCTTGATTGTTATTTTATATATTAATTTGTATTTTTAGAGTATGTTAGATAGTGTGCATTATAGAGCAGCAGACATTGTGATTATGTGGTCAGAATCTTAAACCCTTAGACCACCAGGATGTCCCAAGTTGATGTATAATTGCTTACATATTTATGAGTTAGTACTTTTGTGGATCAGTGGCCTGCACACTGGCTGGAGCCACCCAGTGTTTGTCTTGTAACACACGTACACACCAAACAAGACTGTTTTTTGTGACATTCAGATTCAGAATGCTTTTTTTTCTTTCACCCCTCAACAGGGAGGTCAAAGGTCACAAGGACTTTTTAGTGTTCTCATATTAAAGCTGTTGAGCTGTGACATGAACTGAAAATCTTTTTCATGCATGAGACATTTATTTAAAGAACAATACAGTTTATAGACAGATGGAGCTTCATCACTCCACGTCATCCTCTTCCTCCTCACTGGAGAACCGCAGGATGTGATTAGAGGCAGTGTAATCAGCCATGTTGGGGAGTCCAAACACCACACAGCAGCTCAGGGCACTGCGTGAAATCTCCATGTCACGGACATCTGACCACTCACCGGTTTCGACATCATAGCACTCGACGTCAAGGGTGGTGGTGAAGCCGTTGAATCCCCCGACCACAAACAGGCGGCCATCGATCACTGCGATGCCAAAGTTACTGCGGGAGTTCAGCATGGAGGGGACAGCGTGCCAGGTGTTGGTGTGGGGGTTGTAGGCCTCAGCAGTGCGCAGACGGGTGGTTCCAGTAAAACCACCAACCTGTTAGAGAAAAGGTGAAATATGAAGTCAAGACTGATAAAACTAATAAGCCCTACTTGAAACCTCAACTTACATGTTTTCATGCCTCCGTGTTTAAGTGTTATTATGTGGGTATCAACAGTTATTGTTTGTGTCCTTACTGCAAAGATGTGGTCTGCGTAGACGACGACCCCAACTCCACTGCGCCTGTTGCCCATGGAGGCAATCAGGGTCCACTGGTCGGTCTCTGGGCTGTAACTTTCAGCTGTTGACAGGCACTCGTTTCCATTGAAGCCACCACAAATGTACACCTGAGATTTAATATGAGATTTAATGATTTAAATTAAGCAATAAGTCCTCTTTTGAAGACTTCCAGTGAAGTATTCAAAAACATTAACATGTGTTTTTTTAGACCTATTTCCACACCTTTGGGAGGAAACTAGCCCGTTTCAGCTAAGAGAAAAAAGGGGCACTATAGTGCATAATGTGATGCTAAGTACTAGATAAATAAAGCTGATTTGGCTTTTGTTTTTGGGCTTGACAACAATATTGTTTTTAAGCCTTCAAAGTTGAAATGTGTTGCAATGACGATCACTTATTGCTAGCACAATCTAAATAATGGAGTTTAAAATCTTGTGAGGTTTGTTCAATTTATGAACTATTAAGAGTCAAACTAGTTTATGCAGTTTCTGTGCTAGAGCTATCTCGGTTGTTCCAAGCTGCTCTTTAGCACCACCCACCTTGCCACCGAAGGTTGTGCAACTGGCGTCACTTCTCTGTTCGTTCATGGGCGCAATTAATGTCCACTGGTTGGTACTGGGCTCATAGCGCTCGGCAGTTTCAAGTCGATCTCGTCCATTATAACCTCCTATGGCGTATATGCACCCGTCCATCGCAGTTACGCTAACGTAGCAGCGGCATGAATGCATTGGTGCCACCTCATGCCAGGTGTGCAAGCCCAGGTCAAACCTGTCCACAGTGCTGTACTGTTCAACACTGTCAAAGCCACCAACACAATAAAGTGATCCATTGAGGAAAGCAGTGCCATGGTAGGCCCGAGGAACCCCCTCACTGTTACCTATATTGACCCAGCGGTCAGCACGGACATCGTACACCTCAATGTCATTGGTGGGACTCCCGCCACTCCAGCCTCCAACAGCAAACAGAAAGTCAGGAGGCAGTCGTGGACGGGCCAAAGGGTTACAGAGAGAAGAGTCAGAGAACCTCCTTGTTCGGATGTCAAGCATGGCCTCCATGGTCTTGAGGAGAATTGGTCGACACTCTTCACTTGCCTTCACCAGTTCGTTGTCAGCTACTTTGTCTATGATGTATTCTGGACTCATCAAAGCCAGCCTGACCTACACCAAGACATGAGGACAGAAATTGGAATTAAATTGTTCCAACTGATGCTTCGGCATGGCTGATATTATGGGCCAATCATACCTTATCAAAGCGATAATGTATTAGCATACACTTCGGCCTTTAAGAAGTTACAGTACATAAATGTCAAACATACATTTAAGGTAATAACACTGTCACAAATTACAGCCCGACCAATACATTGATTGGCCAACACTTTACTAAGGGCGTTTTGGCTACACCCCTAATCTTGTTACTATAACACCGTTAACGAGATGTAAAAGATGAAACAATCTAGTGGCGGCTGAGCAACTGTTCAGTCTTCACTTACATTGGGCAAAAGGAGAGAGATGTATTCACTGCGTTCCTCAGGTGCGTAGGAGATCCAGCGAAGGATGGCCTCAAACACCCTCTTCTCCTTCTTTACATTTAGTTGGTCTTTCTCAATGATTTTAGCTAGTTCCTGCGCAGAGAGCTGCAGGAACTCTTCTGAGGTGGCAGCAACATCCTCAAAGTGATTCATCATGAAGAAGTAGGCCTTGTGTCTCAGTTCTGGGTTGTAATAAACGTCTGTGAACCACCAGATGCCAATGCAGTTCTGTGCAGAAAGCTGTTGCTCCAGGAAGTCACTGCAGGTTTGTATGATGCCCTTTACATTGAACCGGTCTGCTGCTATAAAAAGCTCTTGTATATTTTCTTGTGTCACAGGAACAAAGTCAGTGTAGGCAAACTCAATGATGAGCTTCATCATGTCAGCTGACACATTGGGAATGTCAAAGACCCGACTGTCTGGGGTTGACCAGTGGGTAAAGAGGGCTCTGTGGGCCAGGTAGGAAGCAAAACAAGGGATTAAACATAAAGTGGTCCACAGTTTCACTTCATATTTACACTAAAGGTAATATGAATACACCCCATATTGCACTTTTCTGAACAGATGTGACCAAGGTAAAATGAAATGCCAGAAAACGTGCACAAGCATTAAAGCTACATCCAGCCACTGCACAGATACATTTTTTTAAGATTAAATTTGTAATCTCAAAATTGTATTTAATGCATTCATCCTTTTACATTTGAGGTCATGGTTAGCCTTCGAAGCTGTCAAGAAAATTATAAAATAATTTTAAAAACTGACAATGATGGGATGTGATTTGTCATGTAATGTGGTTTTCTCTTTATTGAGTAATGCACAAATTGGACCTCCAAATATGAATCAATGCTATAAATAATGCTAATGGTGTCTGTTGTGTTTACCAGTCAAAATTTATTTTAACGTGAATATTGGAAATCCAGTATTTATAATCACAAGTGCAACTCAAAGGATAATTTGTGAATCAGATAAATCATCCTATTACAATAAACTGTACACAAAAGACTGGCAGTAAAGATTAACATTAGCTTTGATCCCTACAGTTATGTTGAATGTGTGCAGTGAGCTACACCTTCAGTACAAACTTTAAAAACATGTTCAATCTGTGTTTAATGTATATTTATATATTCTCTTAGCTTATTAATATTAGGTTGTGTTGCAGTTCATTAACTCTTATACTGTTTCTCTGCTTATCTAAAAAGTGTAAATTCAGCAGCATTAACACCTGATAACCAGCTCACCTGAAGTATGGGCTGCAGTTACAGAGGATCAGCTTGTGTGTGAGAAACTCAACGTTGTCCACTTTGATCACTGCGTCACAAAGCTGTTGCTCCATGCGGAGCTCATTATACACTGAGCCAGTCTCACTCATCTTTGCTCCTCACTATGAAAATTTTTACTGTTTATATCCCGCAGGTTTCTCTTGTGGCTCTCATCAGGTTACTCTAGCTGTGTGTGAGAGTTGAGTCCACTCGCTCAGGTTACTACGGGATTCTAGAATGGATCGTTACGACTGCTCTAGAACCCTAAACAGCAACAGACATTCCAATGACAGGTTCTTTAGATGGAGTGTCATTCCCCGGTTAGGGCTGTACATTAGTTTGAGTGGATAAAGTTTTACTGTGGCGGGTTGTGTTGATGGGATTTCACAGGCTGATTTCTCAAATTCACAGTGAAAGAATTATATATGAGGCTATGTATAGCTGCTAATCCACAGATATACAATGTTGATCCTAAACACAGTATATCCAACAAATACTTGCTCTATTTAAAAAGTGTCCGGAGATAACCTGTCTGTATGATATTCGCGCGTATACCCAAATAAAAACGAATGAATTGAATTGAAATAAACCCTAACACCTGTAATGAATAATATAAGTTTGGCAGAAGCCTTTAGTTATTGTTCCAGTAAAATGAGGAACTGAGCGATTGTGTTATTAATGTATGTATAAGTAATTCAAATAAAATGAATTGTCCCCCCTTTCTTCCCTGCCCAGGACTGTAAAAATTATACATATACATTCACTTTAATGATATCTAATGCAATTTTTATGTTCAAAGCCATTGTTTTATTAGCTTACGTAGGGGACCTTTAAAAACCATTTCCTCAATTATAAGGGAGGCCTCAAACAACTCAGAAAGTCTTCTGTTGCCATGATGGGTAACATTACTGTTGTCTCTGGAGTATGGCAAGTGATAGAGATATTATGACTGTTGTGTAAACTAAATCTGTTTGTGTGTATGACTACATATATAACACACTTTCTGTCTCTTTGGTAACACATGGGAATAAAGGACACATAAACTGGACAGGATTTGTTATGCTCTGAACATAAATTAAACCCCAAAAGGAACATCTGTGCTCATCATATTTCTATTGCTGTATTGTTTTCTTCACCTCCAGTGCACTGTAGAGTCTCCTCCCACCCACACAGCTTCTGAAGGGAAGGAGAGGAACTCATGTAGTCAGACATTTTCTTAATCTGGCCCAACTCCACCTGCTGCTATTGCATTCCTCTTTTATTGTGTAATTATATACACTTGTTTCCCAGAGATTGTGTGTTAAAACCAGAACCTGATCACAGGTCTGATAAACTAATCTTATAGTGATCATTTGCTAAAACACTTGCTCCTAGAATTATTATTTACATGTATGATTTCATATTGTGTAATGCAGGACAAAAAACATACAAGCAACACATCTAACAGTGTGAGTTCGATGTGTTATATTGACAACATACACAAACAGTATTTGTTCAAATGGTTCCAGTTTATTGGCATCCACTGAATCACTTTCATTACAGAAAAACACTACCTCTACTGGCAGCGTCCTGGCAGTACAGTATGATTCTACAGAGAGAAACATACCACACAGCAAGTAGGTAAGAAAACTAACTAATATCTACAGTGAAGCACACCTGGGGCAAAATGGTGCTGAAATCCTTCCTGTCAACACTTTATGTATTTATCTTTAACTTACTGTTGAATTATAATCAAGACTGTACCAAATAATAGGTCAAAATCCCTCCACTCTCTGTTCCTTAAACTTTAACCTACACAGCCACAGAAAGTTGATCTGATTTGGGGACATTTTAACGCACCAGAAACCGGTCCAGATATCTGTTGTTATAATGATTACATCCACACCTTTGGTTTCACAAACACTGCTGAGATTCACATTGTACTTGATGTTTGAAAGACTTTGTCACGAGACGCCAATCAATCTGAGAGTTTACTGAAAAGGCAGCATTTCTCAGCCCGAGCTTGTTGAATCATCAGGGAATTTACAGCAACTGTTCTCTCTGCTCTCCAAGTAAACATCTGACCTTTTATCATAAAACTTCTCAAATCTCTTCTCTTTCTGTATACAGACAACTTAAAACCAAATAGGAGCTAAACAAATGATACACATTGTTCTGTTCAGAAAATCATGACAACCTCTTGTAGCAAAAGTGATTTTGGGAATAACACGCACTTCCTGACTTTAATATCTCAATTAATTTGTAATGTGTAACCTCACTTTAAAAAAGAAACCTGAGGAAGGGACAGCAGAGGTGAATCTGTTGCTGCTACTTTTTAGTAAAATATTTCATCACTGGACATCTAGACACAGGTAGGACTGAGCAATATGCACAAAATATCATACATCATTTCAATATCATTGTGGGAATTTAATATTATGAATCACTGAACAAAATTTTCTTTAATACTTGAAATTTTAGCTTACATTTCACATTACAGCCTGTATTTATTCTTTATACATAACATCAGAAAAAGGGTATTTCTCTAATCTACTCGATATTTCTTTTCCATATTGCCCAGCTCTACATACACTAAAACTTAACACCTTTCTTTCGTTTTTTTTACCTTTTTTTGCCTCCAAGGAAAATATTGTATTTTTTAAGTTTTGGGGTTTCATACATTTTTCTTATACAACTAAAGATGTTTAGAAAGAAGTTTATTGGAAAACTTCCAGGATTTCTTTTGTAAAACTCACAACTTCTTTAGTACAAACTTCTGAACATAATTAGTCTTATTTCAAGCATATTTCAAGCATCTGTCCAAATTAAAGTGAGAAAACAAACAGGGGCGTTGAGTTGCAAAAAGTTAGTCTGTAAATAAAATAAAAAAACGTTGACTGTCCCACAAAACTTATTACATTTCCGTCTCTAGGTAGTGTTACTGAACTCAGCAACGTACACCGAACCCAATCCGATATTTTCTAGAATTGTACACACACACACATCAAAACCACCTATCAGACTATGTGTCAATAAAAAGCCCCCAACTGAAAGCCAAAAAATAAAACTAATGACTGGTACATCCTCTTCACAGTGTAGTCACAACCTCTGAGCATTTTGAGAGCAAACGGCCATCTTTTGCTTGCAGAAGCCAAAAATATACCACACAGAAAGACACTTTGATCGACACGTCCTGACAACCAACATTTATGTCCGTCTAAGCTTTGCGTCTTTACCCCAACCCCTCCTCCTAGATCACTTACATTTCCAGCGTTAAAAAAATAATAAAAACAAACCGGAAACAAACTTTCCAAGCTGGTGAAGTGGAATCCTTGTCGGTCAAGCAAAAGTGCTGGAAAAATCCAGGCTAACAGAGTCTCTGTTCTCCTCTGCAGAGCGTTTTCATTTCACCAAACCTTCCTTCTGATCTCCCTTCCTCCCTTCTTGTCCTGCAGGTTTGACCACACGTGTCCTCTGGCTGGAGAAACAGCTAGTTTTTTGTGAATCAAATGTGGAGCCGGGTTTGGTTGGGGAGGGGCAGGGGGGGCAGTTTGTCTGGGCAAAGACCTTCAGTCGGTGGAAAAGAGGTCTCCGGCCGAGGGGAGCGGGGCTAGACCGCCGGTCACATTGGGCAGGAGGGAGAGGTCAGGGAGACTCTGGATGTGGGACTTTAGCTCTTTTCTAACCTGGGTCACCCTCGCCAGTTTCTGCTTATACTCCTGCAGAGTAGAGAAGACACAAGCACAGGCATATGGTGTAAATGAAAATACCTATTTACAAATAACAATTACAATAACTTATTTCAAACTGTCTTGTAACTATGACTCTCATTCACATTCTGGTCAGAGTATGTGGTTTTAAAAGATCATTAAGGTGTATTACAACTTGGGTCTTATTTGTGTAGTTTCGGTCATTATTTCTAGCAGTTATTATTAGACTAAACTAAAATTAAAACATGTATGAACAGTTGTAATATTGTTGTCTTAAACCAGAATTAAATCAGGTAAAGTCAGTTGGATTCACAGTTTACAGAGCTGACAGGTTCTGAGTTGTGCGGTCAAATAAAAGATGCATTTGGATTAAACAATCCATTTTGTCCAAAAGGCAAAACTTTACCTACATTTAGATTTTTTCCATTTAAATTACTGGTTGCCTGTCTGATTAACTAAAGACCACCAAATACTTTTTTAATGCCAGTTTAAAAAGACAAAGTAAATGCCAATATGCTCAGTGAAACAATGTTGACAATAAGGACTTTCTCAACAGGACAATTAGTTAAAAACGCTGTATTATTCTTACTAAAAAGTGACTTAACACTCATTACTAATTAGTGGAGGAGAAACAGATTCAGACTCTGTTCACTGTTCTGTTTGTGTATGTGGTGTCTTGCCTCTAGTTTCTTCTCTCTCTCCATGAGCGCCTCCCTCTGGCTGCCGATGTATTCAGTGAGCATGCGAGCCAGCTGCCTCCGGTCCTCCAGCTCTGCAGCCAGCCGGCCGTTGTACTCCGCCAGCAGCAAACAGGCTTCATCCACCGTCTTAGACAGCTTGTCTGCTGCATCCTTGTCTAGAATGGCCCAAAAGTAGTAGTTAGTCAAATATTATAATATATATATTTATTTTCAGTTTCGTTATGAACAAGGCCTTTAACTTCTAAGACCTTCTAATCTTTTCTTCTGTCCATTAACGTTGGTTTTTAGTATTGTGAATTTTTTATTGATTGCTTCAACAATCAGTAAAACAATATCACTGCAATTCCATGTTAAAAATGTCTCTAAAATAATTTAAGAACAGTAATTTTGGATCAAGCTGAGCACTCAGGTCTTACCAGTGATCTTCTCCAGCAGGGAAACGTCCTGGACTTCCTGCGGCAGCGAGGCGATCTTCTGACGAACGGCTGCGTCGCCTGATGCAGCGTTCTCCAGATCCTGCAGGGCCTTCACCAGCTCCTCTGTCTGAACGTGTGTAAAGGGAATAAAGAGAGAGGTCAATAGGAGTCAATGGGAGAGGGGGGTGATCAGGGACGAGACCATGTGACAGAAAAAACAGCGGGAGAATAAGAGATTGGTAGAAAAGAACAGGGACACATGAGAGCAGGAAGAAGAAAGACAGCAGAGCAAATAGAAAAGAGTGAAATGCAAGAGAAACATTTATTGCGAGGGAGTATGAGGAGTAAAATGTTGGCCTCCTACCAGTTGAGTTGCGGTGATGTCTGTGTTGTGAGGGGAGTTATGGCTTCTGTAGTCGTCATCTTCATCGTCTTCCTCTTCCTGGATCTTCTGATAGGTTCGTTTTACAGCCTTCTTCTCTTCTGCAGAGTCAGAATAAATATCACTAAATGATGTAATGAATGTAACATATTACACTATAGGTGAGACAACAGCATAAACTAACTTCTTCAAAATAAAACTCAAATTGTATTTCATTGTTTATCTTTTTATGATTTGTTTTATGTCAAATATAAATTCCACTTGAATTAACTTCTAGGTTACTCAGAAGAAATCTGAGGGCAGAGGTGAAGTGATAATACAACGTCAGTTAAGTCACCATTCAGCTATTTTTAAATTAAGCATCAACATAAAATATAAGGACTGTTGAAGTGTCCTACAATATATTGAATCAAGATATTACAATTTCTAGGATTGTTCTGCTATAATGTGTGATATGGACCAATATACAACGTTTTAAGAAACAAACAGTCGAGATATTGATACCTAAAGTATAGGTACTACTGATACTTTACAGTTGTAGTTAAAAATATATTCAGGAGCAGACTATTAATGATGCATTCACCTCATTCATCATTCTCTCCCCTACACTTTATTAGCTACTTTTAATCTAAAAAATCACTGGTATCAGGGATCCTAGCCCTGGTTTTACTTGGTATTGGATCAAAACCTAATTTTGTGGTACCGCCCACCAAGAACAAACACTGTAAAACAAACTGTCTAACCTGAAGGCCTGGGGCTGTTTGAGTCTTCTATGGCCAGTTTGAGCTGCTGAATGAAGTCGCCTCTGTAGAGGCTCCTCTCCTTCCAGATGTTCAGCAGTCTCTCCATGTGCTTTTTACAATTCTCATCTGCTTCACTGCAGGACGGGAACAGTAGTAGAAACAGAGCACAGCAGAAGAGAGGATTCGTTGAAAAGATCAGATTTACACCACAAAACAAACACCTCACAGCTTAAATGATGTTACACAAACAGACAATTGCACCATAGAATTGTAGGGCCAAATGTTTGATATTAGATATATTTGAATATACGAAGCATGTTTCTATTGTCCACAAAACCTAAATCCATTGGATTCTTATTACACAGACTTATTTGTAGCTTCAGTGGTCACACATCATATCTACCGGGCAACATGTGAGCAGGCATCAACGAGGACAGTCTCAAAGTCTTTGGTGAATTCTGGTCCTTTCTTCTTGCTGTTCTGAATGACATCGTTGGCCAGATACAGGAACGTCAGCTTCCTGTTGCATTTAGCTGGAGGACACATAAAGAGATATTTCAATATTTAAAAAGAAGTTTCTTACAGTATATCATCTATATTTAATGATCAATGCTGTCTAAATTAGTTTGCAATCAAGTTTAATTTATTACTGTACCTATCTTTATTCAACATACTTATCTACTTTACTTCAGTAGCTCATTTCTCACATTTGCCAGGATGTTTTGTCTTTGTAACCATAATCATAGTGGAGTGGAACATAATACATGATCAATAAAACCAAACATGACCTGTTTTTGACTATATGTTGGGTATTATATAAACATACCATGTAGGTATGGTATTACCACACTGTGCCAAACATTTTCTGGTCACCGTTTCTCAAATGTTCACAATTAAAGTATTCTGGACTCCTTACTTGTGATATACAGTTATCATTATCTGTGTCAAACATCTGGACATCCTGAATATTTCGCAATGTTTTGTCCCTCTAAGCATTGGAAAGCATTGGCACACCAAGAATACACAACAAGAAAAGCTTGTCCCATTCAGGTTTGAAAGCAGCATTTTAAACAGACACTCTCTCTCTCTCACTATATATAATATATATATAGATATATATTATCAATGTTTAACCTGTCACATATTAATACGTCCTCAACAGTTATTCTGTTGATTACTCTGTTCATTACAACCTTTAACCCAAGTTTACATGCTAATACCCAAGCAGTTTACATGCTAATATCGTGTTTTGTTGCAGAAAATATATAAAAACTGCAGCAGCAGCAGCAGCAGCAGTGAGTACTGCCAGCTCTCACCCTTTTTCAGCTCTCTGTGCCACACTTTGACGATGAGTCCCGAGTGTTTGCGGTGGTGGATGATCCACAGAGACAGAGTCTGGACGCTCTGCTGTGAGCTGCTCAGCTCCGTCAGCTTCTTCTCCAGCGCCGACTCCGAGAAGGACGACATGCCGGTGTAGGTGTGTGTCTCCCCCGTGAACCCGACTGACCCCGACCCGCTCTGAAGCGACTGAGCTCCGACCTAGTTTGGAGAAACTCGCACTGTCATCAAAACTGAAGTTGTGTCGCTAACTTGCAGACATGCGGCTCCAAAGCGCCTCCTGCCTCCACCTACAGCTACGTTTCTAACTTTATATTAGCCCTTTATCTCCCTGAACTACCGACCACATCTACTGAACCGACCTGCGAGGTGTGAGCTCGTTTTCAGCGGCTGTTTCCTCACAGACTGCACTGTTTGTTTACAGACACAGCTAACGTTAGCTAGCCGAGCTAAGCAGCCATCTGCAGACCAGTGCAGACCCGAGCTAAGCCCGCGCTTTAACCCGAGTTTAAATCAACAAAGCCTCTCTGTTATGCGTGCAGGATGTCTTCAGTACTCCTGCAGATGAAACAAAGCCGCTACAGAGTGACGGTGAAACTCCCAGTTTGTCTTTGCTTGTCTAACTAGTCAGGAAGATTCCTACGAAAAAATGGCAGCTTGCACTTTCACCTCGACATGTGCGTCGCACAGTAGTGACGCAAACAGAGCCAGCCAGGCATCAGCCCCTTTATCCCATAGACACATATACATGTATATATGTGTGTATATATATGTGTACATACATACATACATGTGGTATGATATAACACATATACATGATATATATGTGTGTATATATATGTACATACATACATCACATGGTGGTAATAGTATACACACATAATACATGAAATAGTATATGTGTGTATATGTACATACATAACCATACATGTGTATATATAGAACACATAACATGAAATATATATTGGTGTATATGTACATACATAAACATACATGTGTATAATATACACACATATTACATGAAATATATATGTGTGGTATATGTACATACATACATACATGTGTTATATACACACATATACATGAATATATATGTGTGTATAATGTACATACATACATACATGTGGTATATATATGTGTACATACCATACCATACATGTGTAATATATACACACATATACATGATATATATGTTGTGTATATGTACATACATCATACATGTGTATATAATACACACAATATACATGAATATATATGTGTTGTATATGTACATACATACATACATGTGTATTATAGACACATATACATGTATATATGTGTGTTATATATGTGTACATAACATACATAACATGTGTATACATAGACACATATACATGAAATATATGTGGGTAATATTATATGTACATACATACATACATGTGGTATATATAGACACATATTACATGAATATATAATGTGTATATATATGTACATACATACATACATGTGTATATATAGACACATATACATGAATATATGTGTGTATATATGTACATACATACATACATGTGTATATATGTCTATGCTTTATCCGGGGATGAAAGTATAAGAGCCACAGTAAATAACAATAAATGCACATACTTTTATACGAGCCAGAAATAAAACTGTGGATTCAGTGTGAGGAAGGACATTATAATTAAATGTGAATGTAACTGTAAGATTAAAGCTTAGATTCTTAATGGGCAAGTATTTATTTAGTTACTGTATTTTGAGACATTATTTTGCAAATTTACACACAATGAGCAAAATATTGTGATATTGTGTCATACTATTAAGTATTTCCCTAAATGGAATTCTCTTTTTGAGATCAAATTAGAATACAATTTATATATAGGCTCTTTAAGATGAACTTTTTACATACATTACTGTATCATGAGGAGTTGTTTGTTGAGTCCCCTGAACTGCAATTTTTATTTGATTCATATTTTATATTACTGTCAAATATTCCTTTATTGTATTGCTTTTAATGTTATTTATTTATTTATTCATTCACAATAATGCACCATGTATGTAGCTTCTGAAAAATGTCTGTATGTTGTTTAATTGTTGTTTTTTAGGAAAGCATGAAAAACAAAAAACAGAAAACATAATCCAGGGATGTATCAATACAGCAGCTTGAATTTTGTTGTTTGTTTTTTTTATCGTGATTATTTAGGTCAAATATTTAGTTATAGCATTCATGATGAATTAAATGTATGAACCTACAATTAGTTTATTTGGAATAAATGCACAAAAGTGTTATATATTGAACTCTTCTAGATACCAATAGTGTGAACTAAGAGTTTTAGAACTGTTAATTCTACTATTAAACCAATTTAAACCAATCTCTGTTACTTAAATCTATAACTTGATTACTGTTACTGACTAACTGTTTCAGCCATTACTTAGTTACTAGTTATAAGAAAGATTTGTAGTTAATCTGACACCATTGTTTTATGAAAACCTCCTGAAAGACAAAGTAAGCATTAGTTGAATCAGCTATTGATCTTACATGTTGGATGTATGTTTGAATAGAAATTATCATAAAAGCTATTATCAAATAGGCTTACACAAAACAAATATTGTCACTCAAATCTTTGGGTGTAAATTTACATGTTCTTTTGCCTCTGTAATACTGCGGTTGACAAAATGCACAATATTGCAGTCAAAACAATGGGTTTAGGTCCTACACGCAGGTGAGTGTCAGGGAAATTGTTGGTACAACAGGTGTGTTTATCAAAATAAGCCTCAAATGTCAACCAAAATGCAAATTCAGCCACACCTGCACTTTTCATGACAAACATTTAACCTTAGCAGCAAAAACACAGATGTAACTATTAACATATGAAATCTATGTTCCTTTTTAGTCTCACAGTAAATCTTGCCAGTGGGCCAGCATGGACAGTACCAAGACCCCGAATCTGGGTCACCTAATGCAGTCATTTTAATGTTATCAGTTTCACCTGTACATTTCCTGCTATGATAAGTTAAAATATCTGCTGTGGAGACTAATTGGCTGAGAACTCTGAAGTCACATTTGATTTTACAAATGCTTCCTCTTTTTGTGAGGATCTGATCAGTGTGTAAAAATAACACACTTGGTCAAATGTAGGAATCTATAAACTTCTCTGTGTGAGTTGTAACTGTTACTGTGTCTGACTTTTTTTTCTCAGTTTGTTTTCTCTTAAAGCTCACTGGCAATGATATAAAATATAAAACGACATTTTCTTAAAAACAAATCATTTCAGGAATTGAACTCAAAATTTTAACTTAATTAACTACAGAAGAAGTTAAACCTGTTTGCTGTCTTGACAGTCACCATTAAAATGACTAATTGTCTAGCGTGTTGTCTGCACACAAACTGTCTTCCCTGATGAAGGACTTAAATGTTTGTCTCTTGAATTAAATCGTTGCATTGGATTTGATGTTTTTGGCCTTACTGGACCCCCACATTGTGTCATGAGTGTGATGAACTCCTCAAAAGTAAAAATAAGAGAGAGAGACCTGGAAAGGGACAGCACCAAAGTATTATCATGTTATTATCCAGTTCCCACATAACTAATATGGTCTGGCCCATACACTCGGCCAAAAATATTAATGCATGACGGTCCACATGTTAGCCAGCTCTGGTAGCCACATATGGCCCAGGACACAGCCTTATCTGTATTTTATATTATCTTTGTGGCAAAGGTTTCCAAGTGTTTAGTTACTGTCTAAATCTATTTATTATTACACATGCAGTGCTGAGAGGGTAGGAGAGCAAGGATATGAGAGTAAGGGACTGGAAGAGAGGACAGGGAGAAAGATATGTGACTAATGACATTTTACAGTTTTGCAAATACTGTAAATGAAGTGGCTTGTTTAAGGTTTAGTTGAAGCAAACATTTGGAACCCGTGCTAAAACTTGTATTGATGCTGTATGGCCAAAATAGGGCCAGCTACAGTTGGCTGAGATAAGGCTATGTCAGGGGCCATATGTGGCTATACCAGATCACAGATTACACATGTGGACCCCTAATTCATTGCTGTATCTGGGCCGAGTGTAACTGGGTTGTGTGGGCCGTCTCAGGGTCAGACCAAATTTGTCATGAGGGTTACGGTGTAGATATTTCCAGATAAACAAAAACATTGACAAAGTGTCAATTTTTAAAGTCCATTAAAACTGACTCAAATTAGTGCTCTGCTCAAAATAATTGTTTTTAAACTGCTTGTATAAACAGAAATGGCAGCTTTATGACCAATAGATCTGCACTAAGCCACAAGCTATCTGTGTTTGCTCTGGTTTACAGTTGTTTGTCACAGGTCTCCCTTTTCATGGCTTATAACATTTATGCAGTTCATTTTAATGGGAGGGAAACTCTACAGTCACACAAACAAATATGAAAAGCAAATGAGCTTTACTCAAGTAACACTTCCCAGAAAGATGCAAAAGTGATCCTTTCATCCCTCCCTCCAATCCACACACTCAAAAACAGGCTCCAATCCGTTTTGCAAACCACACTGAGCTTCCGCAGCTGCTGTGTGTGAGGTGGAGGCAAACTAAGGACATGTTTGGTGCTGTGTTTCTGTCCTTAGGCTGGCTGATGCTGCAGTTAGCTGATGGGGAACTGGATCACATCTCCCAGGGACAGGGGATGCAACTGAAGGGCGACTTCTCCATCGCTGGATTCTTTCCTCTCCACTACGCAGATGAATCAACTAGTGGTTTGCCTGCTTTGGGTCAATGCAATAAGTGAGTTTCACTTTTTTACTGTACAGTAAACATTTAACTTCACTAATCAAATGTATCTCACTGGTGGTCTGGCCATAAACATCAACCCAAATATGTTATTCTTCTAGAATCTAGAGTTTTACTTGACATGTCTTAATTCATTTTTCCTTTTACATGTTACATTTTGCAGAGGTATAGCCAACCAACATGGATATCATCTGATGCAAGCCATGAGATTTGCTGTGGAAGAAATCAACAACAACACCGGACCACATCCTCTTTTACCAGGAGTGACCCTGGGCTACCAGATGTACGACATCTGCTCGAAATCAGCCAGTATCCTGGGCGCACTGGACCTCCTGGCGCTTCAGAGTCCAGACTACAACAACAGTCAAAGTCCTGTGGGTTTGGTTGGGCCTGACAGCAGCAGCAACACGTTTACCCCTGCTACTTTATTGGGGGCCTATCTTGTACCACAAGTAAGTTATTAACTGGAAAGTGTTGAATTATTACATATTCCACGTGCCTTGAAAAGGCCAACATACAACATGAAGTCATTTCCCTCATGTTTTTGCTTAATTTTAGATCTCTTATGAAGCATCGAACGAATTGCTGAGCAACAAGTTCCGCTATCCCTCCTTTTTCCGCACAATTCCCAATGACAAGAACCAGGTGGCAGCTATGATCCAGCTGTTGATTCGTTTCAACTGGACCTGGATTGCTATTATAGCCAGTGACAACGCCTATGGCCTGCAGGGAATGCAGACCCTGTCCCAGGAAGCACCAAACTACGGCATCTGCATCGCCTACCAAGGAGTCCTCCCAGTCCCCAGTGACAAGACCCAGACCATGAGGAACGTTGTGGAAAGCATACTGAGGACCAAAGTCAACACCATTGTGGTTTTCTCCAGCAAGACAGTAGTCAAGAACTTCTTCCCGTTTGTTATTGAGAAGAAGGTGACAGATAAGGTGTGGGTTGGGTCGGAGGACTGGGTAGCGTCTTCTCTTGTATCAGGGTTACCTGGGATCCACACCATCGGCACTGTGCTCGGCGTGTCCATCAAATATGCAGCCATATCTGGTTATGAGGTGTTTGAGAGAAAGGTATATGAGGCTTCAAAGCACGCCAGTGACAAACAGGAAGCCTCAAACTCAAGCAATACTTGTCTACAGAGCACCGACCTGTACACCCTCGCCAGGATGAATTTCCCCCTGGAGAAATACGACATCACTTCCTCCTTCAATGTGTATACGGCGGTGTATGCTTTGGCTCATGCTCTGCACCAAGCACTTGACTGTGACTTTGGAGAGTGCCAAAAGAGGACGGTGTATCCGTGGGAGGTGAGAACATTTACTGTACATTCAAAAAAAGAACCTTTTCTTTTTTGTTACTGCACTGATGTGTCCTTTTTTCTCTCCACCTCAGCTTCTCTTGTGGCTTAAGCAAGTGCGATTCAATCTGGGAAATACCTCTGTGTACTTTGATGAGAATGGTGACCCGCCGACAGGATATGACATAGTTTTCTGGATTTGGAGAGGGATGAACATGACTCTCAGAGAGGTGGGCACCTTCAGCCCAGATCCCATTACGCTCACACTAGATACTAATCTAATTGAGTGGCACACAGAACATTCAAGAACAGTAAGTATTTTTGATAAAAGTGTGTGAATGTTATGTAAAAGCTTAAAAACTCTAAGTCAGTGCAAACGTGGTGCAACTATCAAAGAGAAGTCTGCAAAAGGATTTTATAAAATTGTAAAATTTAGAACACCGGAAAATTCTTGACACAACACTGGTAAATACTGTACTCAGCACTTTGCACAATATACATGGAATACATTACTGACTTACTAACTAGGACTTCTCACTCCACTGGACAAATCAAAATTTTTTACCTTTTTAGAGATGTATGTGTGTGCTTCTGATGCCGTTTATATGTGGATTTTGTTTGCTGTAGTTTGTTTTATCTCTGTTCTTATGTCTGTAGATTTGAGTCTTAATGAGATTACCTGATTAAATAAATGTTATATATTATCTTTTGTTAAACCCGGTTGTTTCTGTTTAGGTGCCCCTGTCCATCTGCTCTCCACCTTGCCCGAGAGGCCACAGAAAGTTGCAGACGGGGCAACACGCATGCTGCTTCGACTGCGAGGCCTGTCCCCCTTCCACGTTCCTTAATTTAAGTGGTAACGTAAAAACACACAGAAAAAGGTCAAAGCACTAGAAAAATATTCAAAGAGAAAACAGAGAGGCAATGAATTTGTAAGGATTACAAATGTCATAACCTCACCTGTAGGCTCGTGATGAAGATGGGGTTACGACATGTAGCAATTAATTATACAACCCCATTAAATGTGGTTGTGAGTGAATGTGTAAAAAAAGAAAAAAATATCTATCTATCTATAGAAAGATATAGACAGAGACCATCAAAAGATGATAGCAGACAGATGTCCCCCTCCACCATTCAGAAAAAAGGTCACACTGACAAATAGAGTGCAGGGGAAGGCTCATATAGTGATTTTATAGTCTTTTTAAAGTCTAGTTGAAATTATCAACACTGCATTGCAGCAGTATTTTCCAGATGTTGTGTGTGAGGTTGACCAGTAGGTGGTGCTGAGTACTCACACTATGGCCTGACTCAGGTGCCAAAGGGATGCAAAACCCCTTTTTGAAAAGGATCAGTGTGCCTAACATCAGTCATCAGTCAGTGTGTGTTTTCTCTTCTAGACCACAACATTTTATCTTGATGACTCACCCATGTTAAATCTAAACTCTATCACACCGGACAAAAAGCCTAGTCAAGCATTTACATCCCTGTTGTTTTTCTCTTTATTTCTATGTTGTTTGTCTTCCTCAGATCCCACTAATTGCCAGGAGTGTCTGCCTGAGCAGTGGTCTCCAGAGAGCAGCGAGCAGTGTCTCAACAGGACCGTCCTGCTGCTCGCCTGGGACAACCCCCTTTCCATTGCCCTGCTCTTCTTTATGGCCAGCTGTGTTCTCATGACCTCCAGCTCTGCAATAATCCTCCTGATCAACCTGAACACGCCTGTCGCCAAGTCTGCCGGAGGCCGCACCTGCCTCCTGATGCTGGCAGCCCTGACTGCCGCTGCCATGAGCTCTTTGTGCCATTTTGGCCGTCCGTCCCCTCTGGCCTGCATCCTCAAGCAGCCTCTATTCATTTTCAGCTTCACTGTGTGCCTGGCCTCCATCACTGTGCGCGCCCTCCAGGTCGTCTGCATTTTTAAATTTGCATCCAAGCTGCCGCCGGCCTATGACAAGTGGACCAAAAACCACGGGCCAGAGTTCACCATTTTCCTGGTGTCCGTCACCATCTTGCTCATATCTGTGCTCCATGTGGCCATCACCCCTTCCCAGCCATCCCAGGATCTTGACTTTTACACAGACAGCATTGTGATAGAGTGCAGTAACACCCTCTCAGGTGGTTCAGGCCTTGAGCTTGCATATGTTGCACTGCTCAGCATCCTCTGCTTCTCTTTCAGCTACATGGGCAAAGACCTGCCAGCCAACTACAATGAGGCCAAGTGTGTCACCTTCAGCCTCATGGTGTACATGATCTCCTGGATGAGCTTCTTCACTCTCTACCTTATCAGCAGAGGGCCCTTCACCGTGGCCGCACAAGTGTTTGCCATACTCTTCAGTGTCCTGGCCTTCCTCGGGGGCTACTTCCTGCCCAAAATTTATATTATTGTCCTGAAGCCACAAATGAACACAACTGCCCATTTCCAGAATTGTATTCAGATGTATACCATGAGCAAATAATGACGTTTACTTTTTAAAGTTGATGAAAACTGGTGAAAAGTGTAATGATGCAGGCCTAACCAGTAAAATAATGGAAACATCACGGGTTGACTTTTGAATTTAACCTGCAACTGGGTGTAAAAGGTTAATTGTATGTGTACAAAGTAAGTTGTATTAGATTGGTGTCAGTAGGGAAATTAATGCTCAAGGACACTTCAGCAGCTTAGGTTCTTGAAGATCCTTGATGAGTCTTGAAATGTCTTAAAATGTTTTTGCAGAGAATAACAAAATAAATTTTATCTTTGAGTCTGTGTACCTTTCTACATTCCACTTTAAATCACTCACTATTAGTACTAATTAAAGATGAAAACTAATTTTAAATAGTCCAAGTGTAAAGTTAGTGTAAAATGAAGCATGATAGCTCAACGCACGCCCCATGTAAAATTGAGTCCTTACTGCAGAGGCCTGGGTTTGATTCTGACCCATTTGCTGAATGTCGCCTCTCTGTACTTCCCTTTCCTGTATATCTTTACCTGTCCTAACTAATAAAGTGCAAGGCACAAGTGTAACTAATATGATTAATAATGGATCTGTATTATTCAAGTGTATGAATTGAATGAATTGAATTGTATATGAATGTAAGCTCTGATGTAACTTTATGTAATGCAGTTAATGTTCATCATGTAATGTGTTATGTATTGTGTGTTATAGGAAAGGACCCCAGGAAGATTAGCTGATTTCCACGGCATCAGCTAATGGGAATCCTTTAAATAAACAAATAAGTCATGAAGGTGTGATAGTGAGCGTGTATTCAAGTGTCCTGGTTATGATCTGGTTTTTGGAGTCTCCTGATTGTGAGTTGCACCTGTAAACAGCATATCCAGTAGCAGCAGAGTTGGTGAGAAATCAAGACACAAACTGCACACAGATGATCAGAAACCTGGATACTGAATCATTTTACAGGGATATGAATAACCAGATTTCTCATGTACACACCATATCCCTATCAAAACTAGGTTAAGACTCAACGCTACTGGTACTATTGTGCATATAAACACTCAATATTCACAATACACAACAAACTGAAATTCAGCCGTCATTCATTTTATTAGTAACCAGTGCTTTTTCCTACTTTTTTCAACACAAATATCTATCATTACATCCTATCACCAGCATTGTCAAAATTATCCTTATTTGATATTTCTAAAACTGAGATTTGAATCGCCTTGCATCAATTCATAAACCCTAATTGACAGCTGAGTTGTATGTCTCATCAACAGAGACAGAAAAAATCAACTACAGAATCACTGACAATAGAAAATAAGAGGATGTATGTATGTGCTGTTGGAGGGAATCAACAGCGCCCCCTGGCAGCTGTACTGTCATTGCCATTTTTCAGAATATATATTTTTTTTAAAAACTGAAGAAAATTGTGATACCATTTAATGTCGCTGAGGGAGTTACATAATATTAAAATAATTGGTAGAAAACCTCTAAAATCAAGGTAATTAAAAAGTGTATGTGTTGGTGGTCTTTTTTCAGTGACCTATACGTTTATTGTTTATAAATGTCAGCGTTGGGTCAAAAAAACAAGCGATGAGATCATATTTTCACGGATCTGACAACAAGTGGCAGCTGGTCACAGAAAAAAAGTTTTAGTATTGCAGCATGACGTAACATCTCATTGCATATCAAATGAATGCACAATTGGCCCGTCTTGTGTCTGTGTGCATGTGCAACCACAAACACTCACACACACGCATACACACACACACACACACACACACACAGTGCTGCTGTTGGCTGTTGTTTGAGAGGAGACATGAAAAGGCCTTTTGTGGCTGGGAGGTCAGCGCTATTGACCAGTAGATGTGTGAGTAGAGTCCGAGCTTGGTTTTCCCACAGTCTCTGCGTCCACTCACAGCTTAATACCCTCGGTCAACAATAGAAGTGTGCCATGGGTGAACAAGCAGGAGTTTTGTATTGTCGGCACACCAAGGAGTGAGGATCTGTATGTGGGGAAGATCTCAGGAATTTTTTTTTATCCACTGCCTTTTGGAAAATAATATTCATCATCACACAATATTTAAAATGTGTATGTTTCATCTGGAGATTAAAGGCCGGAACACCTTTCCCACTCTCAAAAAAACAAAAAAACTACAATGGGACACCCAAGATGTCCCACAAAACAAACCATACAGTATAATTAAATAAATGCAGGACGATTCACAGTCTAGATGCCATTAAATCTGCAGGTTCAGCAGAGTGGAAGATGTTGTTTATTTCAGTAATAATGTATTTATCATAAAAGTCCTTACATCATTATAAGTTCATGTGAAATAGTCTCATTTGGAAAAAAACCTAATTTGTAACTGACATTTAAAGATGTTTTTGACTTTTTGCAAAGAATTTGAAAGGACAAAATCTAAAATATCTGAATTATTCTAATATAAAGTAGAATAAATATCTAAGTCAAACACACACTAGCAATTATATGTATAATAACATGCTTAATTTCAGAACCTTTTCCCTGGATGATACTAATGCATTAAATCATGTTTAATTATTCCCTGGGAGCCCATCAGGAGATAGTGGCTGTTTTATTTGGTGTAACTGGAGTGTGAGATAAGCAACAGCTCCTGATAAGAGACTGACAGCGTATCATTCCCAGTCTGATATATATCTCGGGAATGGTTTTATCTCTACTGGTCAGCCTGTGATTGCTTCACTCCTGAGTTATTGATGTGTGTCCCATTGTTGCAAACCCCTGCCCTGCCTGGGTCACATGGCTTTGTTATGCTAATAACTCCCTATAAAATGAAGAGTGGCTCCTCCAGAGGGATCAGAGTGTCATCCTGAAGAAGCTGCTCACTTCAC